CTCTTTATTCATTCACAAAACTCTGCGATGTTGAACTTTTCAATATGTATATTTTCAACTAATCCCAACATGAATCATCTCTCTTATAAATTCAATAACTCATAAGGAAATATTTAACTTTAAATCATTGTCATAAAAAAACTTTTCCAACTTATATGTTTTTCTAAGATAACATAAGTTGATAAAAATCAAAAAGAGGAAGTCTCTTGGACTTCCCCAACAGATATATTTTGTTTCCCTAATTCGACCATCCCCTTGTCACTGACATGGCCCAATCTCATGTGCTAAATTTCTGTTTTCGACAACGGTTTCATGGATGCAACAATTCTCAAACCAATTACAAATTCAATTTCAAGGGTATACAAGCTTTATTTCTTCATGCCTCTAAAGACTTCCTTCGACCCCTTCATGACTCTTAGGATACTTTTCTTTGCTTGAAAAATATATCCCTTCTTGTCGAATCCACCAAAAGAAATCAAATTTCTCTTTAAATCAGGTACATACCAGATTTCAATCAATAACCTTATTAACTCATTATGGAGCTTGAATCTCACATATTCAATACTTGCAATTTTGCAAGATTTGTTGTTTCCTAGTAGCATTGATCCACCATCTTGATCATATAACTCCTCGAACGATTCTCTGTTTGGAGTCATATGCCAAGTGCAACCTAAATCCATAATCCACTCCTTTCTTGAGTCACCACTTGAAATCACAAGAACATCAGATGATTCGAAGTCATCTTGAACAATGGATGCGTTGCCATTATCTTTACCTCCGTGATCTTTCAGGTGTTCAGGGTACACTTTTCTTGTGTGACCCTTCTTCTTATAGTGATAGCATCGAATACCAGATGCCTCACAACTATAAAACTTCTGCTGATTTTTACATTTCTTCTTAACGAACTTACCATCCTTTCACAATAATTTTCTCTTAACGGTCAAACCTTCACCAACTGTCGAAGGTTTATGCTCCTTTCGTTTGTCCAAGTCCTTAAAATACAAGGCTGATTGAACTTCTTCAAAGCTCATGGACTCCCTTTCGTACAAGAGAGTTTCTTTGAAGTGAGCATGTGTTTTAGGAAAAGTGCACAACAACAATAGTCCTTGATCTTCATCATCGATCTTCACATTAATATTTTCAAGATCAAGAATCAGCTTGTTGAACATATCCAACTGCTCAGCCAACACTTTGTCTTCACTCATCTTGAACGAATACAAAGCTTGATTTAGGTAGAGTCGATTCACTAGGGATTTGGTCATGTACAAATTTCAAGTTTCAACCATAACCCCGATTTCGTAGTCTCCTTTGATACCTGCCGAAGAACCTTATCACCAAGGCTCAACGATACTGCGTTGTGAGCTTTCTCTAGTGTGTAGGTTTTCGATAACAACATGTGAGCAAACTTCGACGACAGGCTAATTAGAGTTCAATCCAATATTTCACAATTGTGTTCTTGACATGAATTATCATAAAAAATTTAAATCAAATATTTACGTTTTGTTTGGGAAACGGAGGGTGGACTTTGAAACAAGATTAAATATAAAAAAATTTTAAAATTTTTTTATTAAAAAATTAATTTTGTATAGAATGATAAAAGACTGTTTATCATTAACCTATTTTTAGTTTTTGAAATTATATAACAAAAATTATTGTATTTGAATAATTTGTCTAAACTCTTCAAAGCACAAATTCAATCCAAAATTTGAGTTTTTTTAAATTAGACAAATTTCGTGTTATGATTAAAAACAAACTCTCCAACATCCTCCCAACCAAAATATTTCAATTATTTCCACTATATCATTCCTTTTTTCAAAGTCTTTCCCTTTCCTCCCTTGTATTTTATAATACGTGTTCTTTTTAAGTTCTGTACATTTTTTTTTCAAATATTGCTTAATTATATTAATTTCAATAATAAATATATATTAAAATAAATAAATATATATTCTACAAGTTGGGTACGCTAATTTAATAACTCGATATGATATGGTCCATTCAAAATTGAAATATTTTTTTAGGTATTAATCAAATTAAAAGTGTATATCCCTATGTTTGGTGATTGATAGTTTTTTTTAGAAACTTCTTCGTCTCGAGTTTTATGTTAATTTAATTGTTATTATGATACATGTTATCTTGTCTAGTTGGCGGAAAGCACTAAAGGGAGTTAAGTTTCATGTTCTCTTGTCCAAGATCTGCCTTTTAAAGTTAATCAATGGCTCGAGATATTTTGTTTATATTTATAATGGATAATGATTAGGAGTGTGTTGTATTCGGTTTGGGACTGTCTTGATTCAGTCCATTAAAAGTTATTTGACGTAGTATTTTCCTACAAATGGATTAAATTTGAGTTCGAGTTCAATCCAAATGCTTTTAGATGAAATATTAGAATGAACACAATTTTTTAAACATGACGTCTGTAGGAACGATTTATTTTAAAGAGAGATTAAAATATACACAATTCTTCAAATATAATGTACATATTATATAAAAATGTTTGTAGCAAAAAAGAATGAACACAATTTTTCAAACATGACGTTTGTAAGAACGATTTATTTCAAAGAGAGATTAAAACATGAGGTCGGTAGCAGAATTAGAATGTATGTATACTATACGTAAGGATGGCAAAAAAATCCCATACATATGAATACCCGTTGATAAAATCTGTCACGAGCATGAGTTGAATAGTCTAATGAGTATCCGCAAATAAAATAAACAGATATTTAGTTATTCATTTTCTTACAAACATGAATACAAATTTGATAGTATTTGTACCCACAAATTTCTGTATTTGTTGATAATTAGCAAAATTACTTAAATATTTAATTTAATTTAAAATTATTATTATTATTATTATTATTATTATTATTATTATTATTATTATTATTATGTTAAATATGAAATTATTATTATTATTATTATTATTATTATTATTATTATTATTATTATTATTATTATTATTATTATTTTATCGAAAGTGAAAATATTATTATTTTGTTGAATCTAGTGTAATCATTTGATAAAAGAAAAAATAAATGTGATTTATTTTTGTTATTATTTTTATGTGTTAGATTTGAAACTATTTTTTTATTAGGGACACAAAATTTTAGTTAATTATATTTTAAAAAAAATATTTAAATAATATTATTTATGAATTTGTAAATACATATAAATATCTCAAAATTCACAAATATTCATCTGATAAATATTCGCACAAGTAAAAAGCAAATATAAATATTATATTATCAGATCACATGAGACGGATAATGGAAGATTAACACCCATCCCATGGTATGCATTGCCATCCTATATCAATAATTGGAATATAAAATATAAAAAAACACCACCCTAAATGAAGGAATCAATACAAGTATGTGTTGGCAATCTAATAAGAGAAGAAGACAGAATTTGAGTCACTCAAAGTCATTTGTAGGGACAATGTGAGTAAATCATGTCATAAATAATGAATGAAAATAATGTGAGTAAATCATGTCATAAATAATGAATTAAAAAAGATATACTAGTAATGCATAAGAAGAAAAAGAGAGAAAAAGTCATATTCATTAATACCCCACCCTCAACTGCAATATGCACATCAATCTATTTTCATTGGTCAACTTTTGCCCTTTCCCACACCCCATTCCTTCTTTCTCACAAACACATAACAGGGATTCTGTGCAGCAGCAGGTTTATTCAATTTGACTCTCTACACAATCTCAACCGTTAGATTCAAAATTAGATGATTCAAAATTAGATGATTCAAATTTTAAATTAATAAAATTTAGATATAATTCTCTTTTTATCCTTCTCTTAATTTTGAAATTCATTTTAATCTTTTAAAAAATATTATGTTAATCATTTTTATCTATTTAACCATAAATTTAATTACTAAATTTTCAGTTTTTCGATCGTTAATTAAATAAAAAAATTAAAATGACATATTTCAAAAAAGTTAAAAAACAACAACCTAACATACATAAAAAAACATAATAGTATAAAAATAATGTTTGAAAAAAAATGCTATAAATTGATCAACCAAACCAAATCAATTTGTTTGACTCGGTTATATTTATAAAAAAAATACTAAAAATCAAATTAAAACAAACCTATAGAAATATCAAAATTCAAACATTATTTTATCAAAAACCGATTCAAACTAAATTAATTTCAGCCTAATTAATCAATTAATATATCGTCATTCAGACATTATTTTATCAAAAAGCGATCCAAACAGAATGAATATCAATCTATTTTTTCTTATCTGATATACTATAGTAACCTATGGGGGAGTACTTATATATTGATCTCCAAGACCCAAATTACACACAACACAAGGACTCATTCACACTTCAGACAAGTTCCAAACACTCACTTCAAGATATTTCAATAACATTACCCTAGTAACCCTAGTAACACGAGAAACAAATACAATACTATATTTCACTTTGATTCTGTCTCTCCAAGCTAACTGAACTTTCCTTAACACAGGTAAAACCATAACAACGTTATATCCATGTTTGATTTTATTCAAATTGTTTTTTTCCATCTTTTGTTTTGCCTCAAAATTGAATTTTCTATATGTATTTTTTAGTTTTACTCTTATTTTTGGTGTCGCTGTGTTGACTGTTGAGTGATTTAGAGCAGACTTTAGGCTATTTTTGTTTTGAGATTCTCTGACATGGTTCCTAGAATTCCGGTGAAAGTGTTTCAAGGTGGATCAACCGAAACAAAAAAATTTGGTGGCTTCATTGGAATCTAATCAATAGTATAGTTAGTTTAAAAAGATAAACAGATTAAACATAATCACGTGTATCAGCGTCGGACACCTGACACGTCTATGTTAGACGTTTAGAGGTATTAGTGTTACAGCTCAAACTATAATCTTTAGCATAGTTATTAGTATAGTTAGTTTGAAGCTTTGCTTAACATAGGGTGAATTGATATCCTGAAAGTTTACTTTTCTATTTTTTGTGTTTTTCTAGGTTCCTATAGACTGTGAGATCATGGAATCTCCACAATCTGTTGTGTCACCATTCAAGAGCTCTCTCATGGAAGATACTGAGAAGTTTAAATCTGATGTTTTCACAAAAACCTCATGTCCTTTGTCTAAGGACATTGAAGTCAATAGAAAAGAAGCTCTTGCATTGTCTAATCACGGCGACGAATTCGTTGGAGTAGTTGATGTTTACATACATCAAGCTAGGGACATTCATAACATCTGCATATATCATAAGCAAGATGTTTATGCTAAGGTTTGTTTAACCGGTGATCCCGAGAATTCTGTCTCGACCAAAATCATCAACGGAGGAGGAAGGAACCCCGTGTTTAACGATAATCTTCGTCTAAGCGTTAGGACCGTCGAGTCTTCTCTCAAATGTGAGATTTGGATGCTTAGCAGGGTGAAGAATTATCTTGAAGATCAATTGCTTGGTTTTGTTTTGGTACCTTTGTGTGATGTTTTGATGGAAGACAGAAAACTAGAGAAAGAGTTCTCTCTTTCTTCGACCGATCTATTCCATTCACCCGCAGGTTTTGTTCGATTATCTATATCGTATGCTGGCGTCTCTCCTGATGTTATGGTGATTTCCTCATGGCCTAATGCTGAATTGGACAGAAACGGAACCGAGAAGGATTCTGAAACACGCGAGTCGCTTGTGAGAGATTTAGATAGAATCGAGTTCCCGGATCCGAAAATTGAAAACGAAGACAATTTAATGGTTTCAGAATACTTCGGCACGGATAGTTTGGCCACTACTGATACTGAAAGCCTCGGCTCCGAAAGAGGTGTTCAGTTTGTGGAAAGCTTATCAGCATCTAGTTTTGAATCTATTCAACCACCTAGCAGTGTATCAACAAACGGAGTTTCCTCGCTTTCACCGTCTGCAAGCTCAAACGATCAAGAGAAACGCGTTGATGTCAAAGACGGTGAGCCTGATTCGTCGAACACATTGCTGAGTAAGTCATTTCCAGAACCGGTTGCAAGCGTGAATATTGAGCCAGAACCAAAGTTGGTGCAGCAGGATATAGTAGACATGTACATGAAAAGTATGCAGCAATTTACGGAGTCATTAGCGAAAATGAAACTTCCTATGGACTTTGAAAATGGACCAACTAGTTCGGGAAACTCAACCTCGGAACCGAAATTACAATCATCAAAGAGTAGTAACTCGCGCGTCTTTTACGGTAGCAGAGCTTTCTTCTGAGTTAGTTTTTTTTACCAGTAATGAAATGCAATAATGTAGTATGATATGATCATGATCCTGTGTGGTCCATATCTTAACTTTATGTTGTTATGGACATGGTCCTATGTTAACTACTATATGAACTTTTGTTCTGTTTTTACAATCTTGTGTTTCTTTTTGTTTTGAATGTTAATAATTGAGAAATCAAATTTCATCTACCAAAAAAGTTCTTGTTGTTTATGATATGATTCCAAGTGATAAAGTGGTCCAAAATTCATATGGAGAGTGTCCATTTTGATTGCAACATTCATTTTTCAATCTATGGTTTTGCTTTTTATCATATGTCACTTACTATAGAGTATGCTATTCAATTGATGATATTAGATGATATTTCCTCGTCATAGAGTGTACTATTAAATTGATGGTTCTGTATGATATACTCCCACATCAATTGGAAGTTGATTCTATGTAATACACATTTCAATTTTTTATTTTTCTGCTCTAAGACAAGCACAGTATTTAATTTTGTTCTAACAAATATTCAATTGATTATTATTGCTTTTAAGAATGAGCATTTTTCATAACGATATTTTTACATCAAAAATTTACACTACATTGTATTTCACTTTAAACCAACAAAGGACACCTCAAAATTCAGCCAAGGTACTAGAGCACTTTTCAAAGAATTTGTGGAAACCACCATCTACCTACCAAAATGATTCCGGAAGAGACCCCCACAACCCTACATGCACCGTCGAGTTAAGATTGATTCATCCTAGAGGGGGAAGATACCACCGCAAGGAAATAGGGTGTTTGTAACATGACGCGATCTTCTGATAAGATTCTACTAATTCTGTAGAACGAGTCATGCTTGCGAATTTCACTAATCATATTATGAGGAGAAACGAGAAGAGAATCATTGTGCCTTTTATTTCTCCAAGTCCAAATAAGGTGGCAGCCAGTAGCCCATAATGCTGTCCAGTCGGGAACATCGAAATGAAAATTCATATAGACACATTAAGGAAAAGCCATTCAACATTAGAAGTTGAGAAGAAAAGATGTTTAAAGTTTATTATTGTTTATTATATTGGATTACCATTAACAAAGTATAAATTGTGTGAAATATAAATGGTAGATCAAAGCATGCACCATAGCTGCATTTATCCAATCATTTACATTCATCTTGTTTGTTCCAAATCAATAGATGTGGAAAGTGGTTCAAATGGTTTATTATTACTACTTCCACGTCTACTTGCATTTATATTATTACTTGCATGGATAAGAATCATTTATACTACTATTTGTATAAATCACATGTTTAAATAAAAGTCTATTAAGGCAAATTAGATCGCCACAAAACGATATTGGACATTATAAGTAGGGTTGATACTATTTTTTCCGTTACAATGTGAAAAAAAATTCACTCTAAAACATTTAGCCTGTGAAATAATGTTATGGGCTTATGAATATGATATAATATAGTTGGTTAAAATTAACTCTAAAACGTTTAGCGACCACCGTGTAAAATAATGTTATGGGCTTATGAATATGATATAATATAGTTGGTTAAAATTAGAGGTGATAAAACGAATTCGATTCGTTCCTACATATTCTTTTAACCCGCCGTGTAAAATAATGTTATGGGCTTATGAATATGATATAATATAGTTGGTTAAAATTAGAGGTGATAAAACGAGTTCGATTCGTTCCTACATATCCTTTTAACCCGCACTTATTTTATGAGACTGATCAATATTTTAGATCTGCACTCTTTAACATATCTGGTTCATCCCGTTATGTTTTGTTTTTGTGAGTTTTGAGACGCATACATTAACATAAAATTTGTATTTTTTAAACTTAAAATGTGCGATGTCAGTCAATACACCCTGTCCCGCCATATTTTTGTGATGTGAAACAGAACTTTAAACCCTCCTCATCAATTATGTTCATCTCGTCCTGTACTGTTTTTCTTTATAACTTTTGCAGGACAGACAGAACGAGAACAAAACGTGAATATACATTTTCCTCAGTTAGTCAAAATAGGCCGAATTTCAACAAGTAATATTCTTCAATAAGAATTATAATTATAAAGCAACAAAATATTACAACAAACATAAAGTATATTCCTAAATTATACAAACAACATTTCATCAATCGCCCAACTAATAAGGTTTGTACATATGAACGAATCACCTTAATATTTATGCTAAAACAATACTTAATATCTCATTAAGACCACAAACATCAATAATTTGACCCTGGAGAATCCCATGTATCAGGTATAATTTGATGAAGTGAACAACATTCTTGATTAGATCCATTAGAACAGCATTTTGAAGCAGAAACTTCCATCTCATGTTTTTCATGTGCATTCATAACCTCCTCTATTATCTCCAAAACCTCTTCAATATTTGGTCTATTTTCTTGTAAACCAGACACACACTTAAGAGCAATATTCAACATCGAAAATGCGCCTTGTTGATCATTCTCTCTAACCTCGTTATCGAAAACCTCTCCAGTCCATTCCTCTCTCACCATTGATCGCACCCATCTAACAAGATCGATTCTACTAGCTTCTGTGCTTTGTCCGGTTAGTAATTCTAATAGAATCACTCCGAAGCTATAGACATCGCCTTTTTCGGTTAATGTTTTTTCGGGAGCCGTGTGTCCGTGCGAGGAAAAGAGATTAGGTCCTCTATTTGGATCGAAGAATTTCGATAAACCATGTTCGCTTATTAGTGCTTCGTTTTTCTCATTAAGAAGAATATTTGATAGCTTGATGTTTCCATGAGGAATATTGATCTCTCTTTCGTCTAACTTCTTGTATATGAAGGCCAAACCCCTTGCAATTCCACGTGCTATTTCGAGACGAAGCTTCCATGGAAATTTTTTTCTCTTCGCTATATAATCTACATAAATACAATATCTCTTTGTTAATTGTTAGTTAGATCAATTTAAATAAAGTTGTAACAAGTATTATGCAAATAATCAGCGATCGAAACGAATTTGGATTTTCTATAATTAGCAATTCACGCATTCACTGTAGTTGGCAAACTTGAACTATTAGATGAACAACTCACATTTCAAATTTGATTGCTCGAGTTGAGTTATTTCATCTTCTCTTGCGTTCAAATTTACCAATCGAATGAATACATGAACACTTTTACTATAATGAATTTGAGTCTAATAGATGTTTATGTGCATATCATATGAAACATCAATTATACAGATATATTCTAACACTGATAATATTCTAACACTGATAATGTAAAAAAATATAAAACACTGACACTTTCTACCTATATGATAGTGTTTTTATAACATTTATCTTATTTTTCTAACATATAACATACATATGACATATAAGTGTTGGACACTAACGAAGAAATGCATATGCATTTATGTGTGAGTGCGTAAATATATTACACGTTTGTGATCAGAATGTAGAGTCTTGCAACAAAAGAAAACTTACAAACTTAACTTACCATTCAAAAGATTGAGCAAACTTCCATTGCTTTGATATTTGTAAATGATAAGTTTTTCTTCACTTGTACATCGATAACCAACAAGAGGGAGAATATTTTCATGTTTCACTTCACTTATCTTCTTCAATATTTCTCCAAACTCATCACAAGAAACCTGCAAATTCTTCATTCTTTTCACTCCATATTCAACATTATTCTCAAGTTTCACCTTAAAAAGACTACTCCAAAAGTTTTCACTTCTCAAATCAGCTTTAGCTCTTAATAAATCCTCCAAACTAAACCTTTCATGATCTTCAACAAAGAACACAAGCTCTGAATTACTATTAACACCTCCCTTTAATCTCACCTCACTTGTAGTTTTTTTCATAGGAGAAACTGTATGCTTCTTCTTCACCTTAACCTTACTCTCTCCCATTAATTTAGATGATTTCTTCACCATAAAGTATAGTGATGACAAAAGCAATCCAACTCCCAAAACTAACCATACCAAAATATGATGGGAATACCATGCTTTCTTTCCTTTTTCAGATGTATTACTATTATTTAAATTTAAATAACTTGGTGTTGGTTCTAATCTATATACACCATCACTTCCACTCTCTAACTTACTAATTTTAACCATATAATTACTAGAAAAATTATTGTTAGATAAATCTAAATTCTTAAGATATTTCAATCTTTTCAAAGCCTTTGGTAACCTACCACTTAGTTTATTATTGGTTACATTTAAATAAACCAAACTTCTACAAAGCAAAATTGAGTTTGAAATGTTCCCTTTGATATTATTATTAGCTAAACTAACAACTCTAAGGTTTTGGAGTTTGCATAATGAATCTACATCAAATATGCCACTAAGGTTCATGTTATCAAGGTTTATCTCTATAATATTTGTAGCATTTGAATTGCATGTTACACCATTGAACTTGTTATTGAAACATGGATTTGATGTGTTGGTAATGTTGAGAACATTATTGGAATCAAGAGCTTTAAGGAAAGTGAAGAAAGAATGAGACTCTAATGATGATAACAACTCACCTCTCGAATAGAACATAATCATGAAGAAAGATATTAACACCATTGTGAAGTCTCTTGTGTTCTTCATTTTTGTGTGGAAGTATGTTGAATGAATCGTGCATCTATATTGTTGACACTATGGATAAGGACATGTGTATAGTCATCATAGGATTCTACGCTCGATGTTTTTGTCGTTATTTTGTAACACTTGTTATTATCGTTGTTTTTTCATGTCTTTAGATAAAATCAATCTTTCCTGGGAAAAATCAACTCAAATAAATCCTGAAAAAGAAACAAGAAAACCGTAAATAAACACCAAGCCCATAAATCAAAAAATATATAAAACTCATCAGAAGGAGGGATCGGAAGGAACTCAAAATGGCGCCGCAAGAACCCTAGGGGGATTCAGAAACCCATAGAGTTCCATCATCATCACCCCCAGAAAAAGAAGAAGAGGAAGTTTTCTCGAAAAAAACATTAAAGCATCGCGGACGATCCAAAGGCTCATGGAGACCTTCTCGT